TCTGATCAACCCGGGACCTTCACCATTGGAATCAGTGCATTTTTCGCTACGATTCACAAAGTTTTCATTTTAGGGTGAACTTCCCCTTTAACGCATTTTCACTACCGTATTTCCGCGCATATAAAGCCACGGCGTTATAGGTGAAACATCGCTGTTTTGGACCAAATTTTTGGAGAAAATAGCCTCGGTTTTAACGCCATGGCGCTAAAAGTGAGAGACGCGTACATGCAAAAAATCGGCAGAGTATGAACTTCGAGTACCGTAAAGTACCGCCAGAGCGCCCCACCATCTGATCCTTTCGTGGTCGTAGCGTGGAGGTGGTCTGCTGTCTGTAGGTCATACGACATGAACCTTGTACACATATTGCACGGTTTGCAGTCAATCCGTACCTTCGAGTGGACACAAGCTCCACACAAAAACCTGCCAAGTGTGACCTTAGTACACTAAGATTCTCACATCGCACACACTTCGTTGCACTCTGCCATACGATTTTCCTTTCTCTGGCTGTAAAATCAAGGTGGGGCGCTCTCGCGAGACGGGGCGCTCTGGCGGTACTTAACGGTACTCGTACGGTGCCGTTGCACGTTCATGTCGAGCATCCATGTACTTTCAATTTTCCCTGAAAATTTCAAATTGTGAACCTATTCTGTACAAGGTGGCATACAAACGTGTGTGAAGGTGCGGTGGCGGTGTGGCATGTGACAGTGGGGATGGGTACATGCAGAGAGAATCATCGCTACTGTAGGTTCACTGAAAGAATTGAACTCACCTTTAACGCCAGATGCAACTTCCTCCACATTGAATTTTGTTCACTTATAACGCCATGGCTTTATAAGTGAGGGTGGCCTTATATTCGGATATAACGCCATGGCTTTATATGCGCGGAAATACGGTAATCGTCCATGGTGTTCTGTTTTTGCCCCAGGCCACATCGGAGGTTCTTGGTCGCGTCTACGCTGTGTTAGGACGCCGCGGTGGCCGGGTGGTGCTCGAGGACCTTCGGCCGGGCTCCACAAACGTGTTCAGTGTGCGTGCCCTGGTGCCTGTCGCCGAGAGCTTCGGCTTTGCCACGGAAATTCGCAAGAAGACAAGCGGCTCAGCGAGTCCGCAGCTCTTCTTTAGCCACTGGGAGGTAAGCAGATTTTCTTATTTTTATCGCGAAATAACGTTCTTGGAACTTACCATCACCTTTGCCTTGATATGTGTGTTTAGAATGAGTGCACAGTTGATTCTTTGTATTGCCATAATGGCTACGGGCGAGGGTCCTTGGTTCGAGTCCTGGTGGTGACAGTCAATTTTTTCTTCAGACTTTTCCCGTTTGGGTCTTTCCCTCAAAGCAGTGAATGATTTTATTAATTTTATTTTTGAACTCGTATGTTGATATCCATGTTTAGGTTCCTCACGTTAACATGTCCTTGTCCGTATCGTCTGCACGCGATGTTGCGCATGATGTTTGTCTACATTGTGTTTGTGTGTGTGTGTCGATACTGGTATGACCGTGTGTTGTGTAGATGTGTTAATATGACCATGTTTGGGTGTGTGTCGAATGTAGGGCTGAAACGAATATCCTGAATATTCGAACATTCGTTCGTTTAGCTTCACAGAACGAACATTCGCGAGGTGACGAATATTCAAACTGAAATTTTATAATGAAAAGTTTGCTGAACTTTTCTTTCTTCTATTGTGGTTTCCAACACTTTCTGTCGTGTCCAAGCCGGTCTTGGTCGAACAGCGTGCTCCCAGGTTTGGGACCATTCTTTTTTTGTGAAAAAGAAAGGAAGACGGCGCTGTACAAATTGTGTGACAAGCAATACACGTACCATGGCCAAATGACTAGTAATCTACATACTGTAAAGTCTTGTATAAAAGCCGCACTTGAATAGAAGCCCCCCTCGAGTAGAAGCCGCAAATTTGGGCCCATCAAATCACACATAAGCCTGGTTTTAGTGTTGACATACATAGAAATACCTGTCTTGTATAGAAGCCTGTCTCATGTAGAAGCCTGCAAAATTTCACCAAGAAAGTCATAGAAGCCGCAGCTTTTATACAAGACTGTACGGTACTAACCTGAAAAACGAATATTTGTTTGTTCCTTCGTTTAAAATAGCATCGAGAACGTTCGATTAATGAGAAATTGTGTTCGTTCAGCCCTAGTCGAATGTCATGTTTATGTGTGTAAAATCTTAGTCGGAAGGAAATATATTAGCACACGAAGAGGCGAAACCAGTTGTACATCTGATGAGGCCTTCCGTATCATTACTTCCCAAATCAGTACATTACGATGATGTGACGAAGCACAACGATGTCAAATGAATTTACTGCCAATGTGCTGTTTAAATTGACATCGTTGTGCTTCGTCACATCATCGTCATGTACTGATTTGGGAATTAATGATACGGAAGGCCTCATCAGATGAACACCTGGTTTCGTCTCTTCGTGTGCTAGTTTCTGTGTGTGTGTGTCAATATGACCATGTTTGTGTATGTGTGTTCTTGTGCAACTGCCTAAATTTTAGGCAATGTCAAGCGATCCGTTCTGGGTGCCCACCACTGAAGAAGAGCTGCTACATTTTGGAGAGAAAGCCGACTCTGAGAACCAGGCTAGACTGTACATGAACGCTGTGCGCCGCCGCAAGGGCCTGACAGTCAGCGAGAAAATCGTTGAGCATGCGGAAAAGCAGCGTACTATAATGAGATCATAATGAGCAGCTCTGCCTCTCTCTCTCTCTCTCTCTCTCTCTCTCTCTGTCTCTCTCTCTCTCTCTCTCTCTCTCTCTCTCTCTCTCTCTCTCTCTCTCTCTCTCTCTCTCTCTCTCTCTCTCTCTCTCTCTCTCTCTCTCTCTCTCTCTCTCTCTCTCGCTCTCTCTCGCTCTCTCTCTCTCTCTCTCCCCTGCACATACTGTTTTGCTGCAGAGCTCCGAACAAGGGGCCAGTGTGGGCCTCATTGAGTCTATTTTCATTTTTTTTCATTCTGCATGGAGCTCAGCCTTTCCTCTTTTTTCTAATGATGCCCAACGGGGAGTACCTTATTCTTGTCCTGCAGCTGAGATCCCGTTCTGAGATGGAGGTGTTTGAAAGTCTTCCTTTTCTGTTCATAGTAACTAGTATTCATTCAGGGAAAGGCTAACACCTATTGGGGGGTTCCCCACCCTGAATTATTTTCAACTCCTTCCTGCACTTTCGAGACACACTATATTGTGAGTGAATGGCGGAATGCTCTGATAGTTTGAACGGAGCACTGAGTGAATGGTGAATGATGTATTCCTTCTCCTTCGTTCGTAGGCTGTGTTTACATGAGGCGTTTCAACCCGGGTTGAGTTCGACCCGGGTTGAGTTCGACCCGGGTCAGATTTCAACCCGCCATGTAGATCTACACAAAATGAAGGCGCGTTTTACATGACGCATTGCGCTTGACCCGGGTTGAAATTTCGGGTTGATTTCAACCCTCCCTCCCCCTTCGGGGGAGGGTTGAAATCAACCCGGGTCAAGAAAATCGTACTAACGTACTTCTGTGCGTATCTCGCGCCAGGTTTGAACAGCACTGCACAAAAGTCATGCAAATTTCGCGCGAACGGATTCACGTGATCATACAGGACTCTAGAAGTGGACTTTTGGCGGCATATCAGTATTTGACTCGGGTCAACTGTCTTCATCATGGAAACGCTCACCTATTTTGTCTATCGTACAGACTTTCAACCCGGGGTGAACTCGACCCGGGTTGAAATTTCTCATGGAAACACAGCCTTAGCGATGGAGAACGTGCTCTGCTAAGCGATGGCGATATGTAACAGGCATTGCATTGTACTGCTTCATTCTATCACTGCATCAAAACTGACAGAAGCAAGATCGAATGGCTTATTCGACTCCCTGGAATAGCTCTGGCTTTACACTACACTACTTCCTGGCTTGTACTGTACATGTAGTTGTAGGCCTAGACCCTGTCACTCATCACTGACATCAGCCATCAGGCCGAGACAGACTGAGTCATCTCAGGACATGGGCGACAAAACGCTGGCCCCTCGTGTGTCGTTTATATCACGGTGACCATGGTGACGCTAAATAGTAAATTCACCGCATATTTACCGCAAATTTACCGCAAATTATGCCATCATGATTATGCCGCGTTTTTCCCCGCTTTTTTTGCGATTTTTTCCCGCAATTTTCCCCGGGGACAGCTACATGTACATGTAGGCTAGTATCGATGATATGCGAGGCTCTGGTTATCACGTCCGGTGACGGACATCGGATGTCATCTGCCAATTATTATGTCATGGGCCGGGGTGCACCACTAGCACTGGCACTGGCACTGACAAGTGACAGCGAGCACTGACATAATTTTTCCCGCCCTATAGTACTTAGTAGATCTACATGACCGTATTAACTTTTCGTCTGTGTCTCCTTTCCAAGTACTTTCCCATATGCCTGGGTTACTTGGACCTCATTCGCTTCCTTGTCATTGGACATGTTCAGTCCGTTCGGTTTGCGAATTCAAATAAACACAATTACTTACTACCAGGTACCCCCAACCCCAACATGACCAGATGACTGTCTGGACATCCAGGTCTGCGCGCGCACAGAGTTTGTATGACCGTTATCTGGTTATACACTATTCTAAGTCATGTCATCCACAAAACGTGACACGGACCCGGCCGGGCCACCCTCACTGCATACTGTTGCTGCTGAGGTACGCGGTAGCTTCCGATGCCTCGCCCGGCGAAACGAGCCCGCGGCACCATTTCCGCACTGGAGCAGTGGAGGGCCAGTGGAGCTTCGTGGTGAAATATTTTCACTGCAGCGCTAGCTGTAGTTTCTTCAGTTTTTCATGCTACAGCCCGGCAGCTTGTACTTGTAGACGAGTTGCTGTAGGCAGCGCGGTGGTGTTAGTTTGGCGGTCTGCTGCTTCGTGTCGAAATTTGTTTGGGTGCAGGCTGTGTAAGAATCTGTGTATTGGCCAAAGGGTTTCATCGAAGTTTCCTACTGGCTCGGAGCCTCCATTCGACTGCTCCATACCATCACGACGTCGAGAACTGGTACAGCCTGTCCGCCCACGACGTTCAAATCGTGTCCAGGATTCAAGCAAACCGTGACTCCTGGCTGCAGGAGCGCTCGTCACTGGACGTTCATCGTCCCCGTTTGTCATGGTGTTCCAGTGATTCTGGGTAAGTGGTTGGCGCGGCCAGTGTTGTTCGGTTCGTGGGGATTGTTGTTCGTTCTCGTTTCCTGAACTGGCCGCAGAGCACCGGTAACGGGTATAATGCAGGGCTCATGCTACTGTCGTGGATATGGAAATCCGGTCGCAGGTCTAGCGGCCCCAGGCGGCCAGGGCGCTGGCCATGCAGCCGTAGCACGTATGCGCTGCATGCTGCTGGTCGCATCGGATCAACATGATAGTGCAATGACTATGACTATTGTGCATAAGCACTGCATGCAACGACTTACGTTCTGTACGCGCTGAGGGCGCCGGCCCCGGTCAATCGACTGGATTTCCATGTCCGCGACAGTACTTTGATCATCTCAACAACTCGATGACCATTTTTGCTTGTGTACTGCGATTGCGAGTAAATTCAGTAAAGTACGGTGAATAGGTGTGGGTTCTCTTCACTCAGTAGAGTTGAGTCGAGCCAGCTGTACAGCCTGTAGTTCCCGGTGCCGAAAGGCTGACCTCACTCCCCTACATTACTTATAGGCGAAAATTAAAGTTTGGAAAACCCTATCGAATTGGGTATCTACGGAACGCTTAGGGCTTCAGGCGTTCAAATCTAAAATTTGGGCTGAGTTAGAGCAGGTAGAAGGGAGTTATGGGTGTTGACAGGAGCCCTATTCCATGTACGTGATCTTTTTGTCGCGACGAATGTACGCGTGGGAGCTCGAAAAGTGGCACCCGGCACTCGGGTCCCAAGTCGCGACGCAGAGTGCATGATGTAATCTCGCATGTCACGTGCGTGTACTTTGCTATGCTAGCGCTACACCACTGCTTGCAGAGTGAAGTACACCTGATCTGAGCCGTACATAACAAACACTCGAGCCGAAAACCTTCTGAAGAGAAAATTAATAATGTTTGTTCCTTTGCAGAGAAGGGAAATGTCTAATTGTCTTCAAGGATCGCCAGTACTGTTTGATGTGAACCACTGATGGCCCCCGGCACCAGTCCCGATTACCTTCGACGTTCCTTCCCGTACTGTTTCCTTGAATTGTGGAATAGCCTCCCCGAGGACGTCTTTCCCCGTCTGGCCAATCACTCTCCACTCACAGCTTTAAAAAAGGTGTCAACAAACACATCTCAGACCAGCCATGGTCTTGGGACGTGCTTTGAAGCCTATCATGTTGATCGTCTCACTGTTCTTTCGTGATCCCACCTCTCGGTTTGGGGATGTGCATTGTGACAACCCTTGTAATGTGTTAATAATAGTCTCACAGTTTCTCCCGCACACTCGCTGGTGTTAACCCTTCCTTTCTTTTCACTTTGCTGACTCGTACAGCTCTATCTTTTGTTTTTGGTGCGTGTTTTTGGCCGTGATGCCGAGACCTCAGGTCGGCAGAGCCATCAATGCCCCACCATCACTGCTGCGTCTCGGTGCAGCCCCTGCTCAATAGTTGTCACGTTCATCCTAGTCTCAGTACCATTGTCTTCCTTTATTATTTTCGAGCTGGGAATGTGAACATAGTAAAAAATATATAAAAAGTGGTAAGGTCTTTGAGATCCAATTACGAGTTGGTACCAACGGGAGCGGTAGCTGCTGTTGATGGATAATGTTGGAAGAAGCGCTTTCTCAAGTTTCTGCAGACGATCGGGAATTTGAAAACATAATTGTGCTGAGAACGTATTGTTTGTTCTGGAGTAGTAGAGAGACTTTGTTAGAGACATAGCCTGTGTGAAAGTGAATGTTCCTCACTTTCTCTCTCACACAGGCTATGTTTGGCTGACAACTACGGTGTTGCCTTGATTGAGTAACACTGACAGCTTTGGAAGTTTCGAAATAGTTTCCATTTCTGAAATGATGCATACAATTGGACAAAACTTTGCAAGAAAGGCATAGCCTTCCGAAACAGTACCTGTGACTGAGGTAGCCATCTCCTTGCCTTCATCACCAACAACTTGAACAAGCTTCTGAATAGATACAAACTGCTGCACACCAGACGCAAGCGAAGTTTAATCTGATTGATGGCGATTCCCTTGCTTCTGCTGCCTTTTAGATTGGTGCACATGCCTTCCCAAAGCAATCCTCCGCCGCTGCTGGACAGTGACACCAGTCGGGAGCCATAACGTCGGTGCGCCTCTTGTTACGCCAATGAAACTTGGTAGTCCGAAGGACTAGGGGGCGCTGAACACGATGCAGCAACAACCTAAGGCGTAACAAGAGGCGCAAGGACCGAAACCCGCCCTCGAATATTAGCAAAAAGTGAGAGACAGCGTGTCGACAGAGAAACGTCTGGACGCCGCGAACGGTTGGAGGCATTGCTCCATATCCTTACCAAAAGACTAGAAACTTGAAATCGCCCAAAAAGAGCAAGGAGGGTGCACAAGCGAAGTAAAAAAAGTAACGTTAGTTCAAACGCAGGTCAGTTTTGTGTGCCTCCCGTAAAAATTCATAACCATGTATAAACAATTAAAATGAAACAATTCCAAACCTGTACTAGGCCAGATCCAATCCGGGTCTTACAAGTAAGTGGGTCGGGAAATAACTTCAAATAAGTATTTTCAAGTGAAGTGAGCATGTTTTGGAATTGTTTCATTTTAATTGTTTATACATGGTTATGAGTGCACAATTGATATTTTTCATTGCTATTTTACGACTGTTGTCTCCTCGTCGGTTATTTATGTGCCATTACATCATCGATTTTCAATGGGCCAAGCGCGACACGCGAAGTCCTTGAACTGGTCACATGTCTGACCTCGCTACCTACATGGCTACTTCCCCTTGTCTAACCCCCAAGACGAACAAAGAAGTATACTAGTACCAAGAGTATTATAACCCCCCCCCCAAGAGTGTGCAACTCTGCATATGGGGTCTCCGACGGCGAAAACGCACATCACGTGTCTCAGATACGTTCGTACTACGTACACACGAAGGATAGCGTGCGCGCAATCCGAATATCGGCCATGATCATGCTGGGGATTTGCATACCCGCAGTGAGTTTCTGTCAGAGAGTGCTTTTTTATTACTCCGCTGCTCGCTAAAAGCGGGCTGGAAACGTACAACTGCACCACGTGATGTGAGTTTTCGCCGTCGACAAACCCCATAGAAAGGGTATCAGGAGTTGCACACTCTTGGGGTGTTATATACTCTTGCTAGTACTAGTAGGCGACTGGCCGAAATGAAAAATAAAATAAAGCCTGGTTACACCCAATCGTCCTTTATTCGGGCACGTAATCACGGTCGTTTGCACCGAAGGGCGTCGGAAACTCCAAACACGGTAGATCTACAAACTGTGGATCTACGGATATCCTGTAAAACTTTGTCAGTGTGTGATAGTGCATATACATGCACCTGTATTTTAAAAGTCTTACCAGAACTCTGTATACAGAAGAACGTTGACTACTGGTCAGAGTGTTTCTATGCACGGCGTGCGTGGAATATGTATCTAATATTGACTGAGTATGAGGTCAGTATGGGAAATAAAAGCCGAGGTTTTTATTTCCTATACTGACCAAGTACGAAGTCAATAATTATTAGATTTATCACGACAAACAGTGTGTATTTCAAATTCCGGAACGATAACGTCATGAATCCCGGTTTTATGATTGCACAACCGTTGCACCATCACCTATTCATACAGTATTAAACAATGCTGCACTAGGCACCGTTCAACTGCGCAACCCATTAGGGGTCATCCATAATTATCGAACTTTTTTTCACAAAACGAAATAATTTCGTTATGGGGTGGGAGGGGGTTGACCAATTTCGTTTCAGAAAACATTGATACGTGTACATGGCGGTTGGAGCAGTGACACACTTGCAACTTTTGCTGTACAGTATATGCATGTCAGGGCCGGAGGAAGGAGTTCGGGAGTGGTCCGGCCAACCTTTGAGGAGGGTCCGGGGGACCTCCCGCGGGAGAAATATTTAAAATTTACGTGAAATAGAGCATATTTGGGCATCTCTAAGGCTCCAGAAAATGCAGAAAATTATAGTAAAAGATCACAAACACAACTTTTTTTATCCATATCAGCCATACAGTGCCGGTCACGGAGTCCTGAGCTACTTCAAAGCACATCACACGTCGGCAGTACAGTCGAGTCATGTACCTCTGGATTTTTTACACCGGTTTTGCACGAATCACATGGACCATCCAGCTGGGAAAGTGGTCCGGCCATGGCCGGACCAGCCTGACCGGTTCCGCCGGCCCTGCATGTATGTCAACATTTTTACGTTCTGAGGGGGAGGGACGGAGGGGCTGGGTCTAAACTAAAATAATTCGTTTGGTGAAAAAAGTTCGATATTTACGGACGGCCCCTAAGCAGTCAAATATAAGCAGTCAATATAGCCCTAAGGAGTGAAACATGCAGGAATATTGGACTGCTTAGGTATAGCGAAAATCAATGGGACTCAATACTAAGAGGCTGATAAATGGTCTTATTATGGACTGTCACTTCGAAGTACCAGTACAGTCGTGGCCAAAGAAATGCGAACCGTGAATCAAAAGCAGCTCCGCATTTCTATTTCACCATGCATGGTCGAATGACCCATCCGAGGGAATGAGCCTTGGTGCTGCTTTCAGCTCCTGGTTCGGACTCCCCGATACACTGTGCAATGAAAAGGGAGTGGTGCTTCCTTGCAAATCTGCTGGGCGGAGGGCTCGACATGCTTCTCGTACTCTGGACGTGTGTTCTCTTGGTTCGGAGCCGCCGAATTCCTCAAGGTGACGTCATAAAGTTATGATGCAATGTACGCGTGTTATCAGACGTATCCTGGATCTGTGGTGGGAAAACCCCCATTTGATCCTCAGCTAGTACAAAATATCGCACGGAAGCAGGTGTGAAGCGTTGACAAGCAGTACAAACGCCGTAAAATGACACACTCTATAGGAGGGTTGCATCATAACAATGCCGTCAACTTGAAATTCTGTTTGGACAACACTGTATGCGTGAGCTGCCTACTCTTGGGGGTGATGCACTCTTGTCAATGCTCAGTGCACACTCTTGGAACCTTGCCTCCACTGAAACAAAAGTGTGAAACGCTTTTATAATTTTTGGGTTTCTTCGGAATCTGCACCCGCTGAAAACGCCCTTCGGAATGTTTTCCATTTCTACATTACTCATGATGTGCCGCGTCTATTTTGGTGTGCTTTGTTGTGTGTACATGTACAACAGATGGTGATCGACGTCCGTGACTTTTGTTCTTGTCGCAGTCATGGCTGCAGCAGAGGTATGAATTGTCCACACGTCATTGCTTTGCCACATTCTGAAATAGTTGTCTCGAAGCAGAGATCTTCCAGTGTGCACACACATACACACATGTTTGCATGCGCACGTACACACGCACGCGCACGTCCGCACACACACACACACACACACACACACACACACGCACATGCGCGCGCACGCACACACACACACACACACACAAACATATACAAACATACATACATACACAGTACACACACACATGCATGTGCACACACACGTGTACACACACACATATACAAACATATATTATACACACGCATGCACGTACATGCACACGCACACACACTCGCACACACATACACACATACACACACATACACACATACACACATACACACACATACACACGCATACACACACACACACACACACACACACACACACACACACACACACACACACACACACATGTACCCGCTCCATGCTATCATTGGATGGTTAAAACTTGTGCCAATACGTGTAAAGGGCCATGTGGTATTATTGATTATCTTCAGTGAACAGTAACGCTTCAATGTGGCCTACCTCAGCCAACCAGGCCCCTGAAATGGCAGTGGCCAAATGCAAGCAATAAGCCCATATGAATATATCTGCAGCTAGCCAGGGCTGCAGGCATAGTGGGATGGTCTAAGACCATGATTGAGAAACAGAGGGTACCAGGTTCAAGTCCTGCTTGGAAGCGAAAGGATTTTTTCCAGCCGTGCTGCGACCCACAGTTAATTGGGAACTCGTGGCCTGGCACGAGGGAAACATGGATGCAGTGAATGGGATTTCGGTCTTTGACCACTTTGTGGTGGGTCTGATCTACTCACCTCCCACCGCTTAGGAGCTGCATCTGCGCCTTGTTCCAAGAGGGTGGTGGCGTTCCTGCGGATGCGGAAAACTGGGCCTTTGGCCGAGTCTCACGCGAACCGTGAAATTAGCCAGGGCTGTCTCGTCCCCCGATCAACACTTGATCAACACAGCACAGATCTCTGGCAGTGCACAAAAAAACAAAAAACAAAAAAACAGAACATGCATGGCGCGAGGTATGCTGCTAAGTACTGGTCGTAACCAGGGAGACCGGTATTTTACGACTCCTTGGTCGTAACTTACTGGCAGTAGGGACCTTTTGCATTTGCTACGAATCGAATGCGAAACGAAAGTTTGATTCGGCTCTTAATCGTTTAGTTGAAAACAGATTCAGGTTTCGCAAGTCGTCATGCAAATGTGCATGGCAACTACGAATACGGCCGGTAGCTTGGCGTACGGGTGATGATCAGATGCTTGTACACAACTGTACACTGATACCTGGTTTACAAGTACGCGAGAGGTCCGAGACCGGGCACTACCCGGAACTTTGAATTTCCCGTTACTCTGAGTCACATACTGTCAACTTTGCGAATAACGACATTCGGCGGGGCATCAGAAAAGTGTCCTTATTCGCGAAGTGTCCTTATACCCGAAGTCCCATTTAAATGTATGTGAACCTATAATTTGTATAGTATGACATGTATATCAAAATGAAGCTCTTTTCATGTTTTTATGACATATTACAGCCTTCTTTGATCAGCATAATTCGATTGAGCTCCTTGAAGACCACGTGTTCTGAAAGTATTATTGTCGTCCGTGATTTTTGTTAGAAGGAAATAACACTTCAAGTCAATTTTTGCACAAATCCCATTCTGGTAGGTTAATGCCAACACGTTTGCATTTTGGCGGATGTGCGCTGATTCAAATGGGAATGTAGGGTGCAGGGAGCATTGCGGCTTCCTCAAACAAACGCCATTCAACTCAGCAGCCAGAAGATATTTCATGCTCACTTCATTTTGTGTATGCCTATACGTGTGTTGACTTTGCAGGGTCAAGCAGGCAACACAGGGCCATGGTCAAGCCAGCATTTCCGTAAGTGGATCCCACGTCTCAAAGCAGCGCTCAGCTGCGTTGCAATTCGTGCGGAATGCCTAGCTAAGGAGCTGCTCACCGATACGCAGAAAAAGGAATTGATGGGAGTAGAATATGATTCTGCCAAACACAATGACCGACTGCTAGATATGCTGAGCAGGGGTACAGCTGAGACTTTCCACACTTTCTGTGGTATAGTGCGTAGCACCGAACCTGAAGCAAACTTTTCAAAGTTCCTAGATGACATGCAGTCAGTGGATACCTTTGTTGGAGGTAAGTAGAAATGTTATCAGTCAGGTGACTGAGAGACACTCACAGAATTGTACATAGGGGGTGTAGCTCGACCATCTGTGGTGTAGTGACCATGTACCACCGACAACCTCATAGCCTCCATTTTGCCTGTTAAGACTAAGTAGTACCTATGACAGCGAGTTTTCTAGTGTTGTGACGGCACTACGCTGACTGCACAATAGCTCTACTCCTAGTACGGTATACAGGCAGTATTGCGTGTGCTTGGAATCTTTTTGTTCCATTTCCATACAGGGCATATTGAGGGCACCAAACAGCGCTGAAGTTGTGCAAAAGTGTTTGTCACGATGTGTGTGTGTGTGTGTGTGTGTGTGTGTGTGTGTGTGTGTGTGTGTGTGTGTGTGTGTGTGTGTGTATGTATGTGCGTGTGTGTGTGTGTGTGTGTGTTTATGTGTGTTGGGGGAGGGGTCGATTCACATGGCTTTGCCTGTTGTGTGGATTAGACAGTTATCTTGGGTTTGTCTTGATCTGTTTGAATCAAAATCGGATCCGCTATTGTTGCTATAAAGAGAAAATCTGTGGGTGCACATCCAGTGCATTTGCAGATTTGGTGTGCTTCTCTTGCGACGGGGGTATACATGGTATATGGTACATAGTGTGTGCATGCAAGCAGGTATTTTGCAAGGCAGTGAAAAAACACTTTGTCTATTTGCTGTTCTCTGTGTCCTCTCTAACACAGGCAGTGAAGATGCAGCAACTAGAGTAACTCAACGTCAATCAGACCAGTTCAGCAGAAACCCATTACCATCACCCAGCCAAACAACTCGGTCTCCGCCAGCCACAGCACCCAAACCAAAGCCTATTGTTGAACCCCAGGCCACTCACGCATCTCCCTCCAAGCGCAGCAGTATCTCCGAAAGGTTAGCGGCCTCGAATTCAGCCAGCCAGGAAGGGAAACTGGCTGGAACTTTACCTTCGAAACCTAGTCGAGCCCCCAAGCCTCCCACTCGCCCAAAGCCCGTCACTCCCCACAACACATCAAGAACAGTGGAAACTAAGGATCCCGCTACGGTTCACAGTGTGCAGCCGGTAGTGACTTCTGATCCCGTTTCTCCTCCACGACCACCGCTCTGTGACCGCCCACTACTAACGGCTGGCGGCAACCAGCCAGATGGCACTGAGACGGCGACATCTGGCCCAGCTGATCCCAAGTCCTCTCCGAAACCTGGACAAGCTGCTCTTTTGAGGTCTGCTAGTGCCTCTACACTTGAATCTAGTTTTGAATGGGATAGGCAAGAAACAGGGAGACTGGTCCCGGATCGAGCCCCAAAGCCAAAACAGCGCCCAAACTCCACGTCAATTGCCAGCACAGCTAGCTTGGCCAGGAGCCCAGCAATAGCAGTTGGCGAAGACACGGGCGGACATGCGGTGCAGCATGGACAGCAACCAGCGCCCCCCGCAGAAGGCTTATCTGCCGAGCACATTGCTCCGCCTAAGACTGGACGCGAGTCGATCGCCAAGACGGTAACAGGAGATTCAGCAACGCCTCCCCGTGCAAACTCTCTGGTAAGAGATATAATTCTAAGTTTCAGGAGTCGCAGTGCACTATGCTTAAACTTATAATATAATACAATATTATTGTAATGGAAAACTGAAGTAAGCACAGAGTGGGATCGTCATCAATCCGCACTCTTTGCATATTTCTTGAGCAGGAGGGCGGGGGGGGGGGGGGGGAGGGGGGGGGGGGGGGGCGCAGCTGATGGTCAGATGCTTTAACACAACTGTGCACTGATACCTCGTTTACAAGAACGCGAGGGGTCCGAGACCGGGCACTACCCGGAACTTTGAAATTTCTGTTACTCTGAGTCACGTAATAATATTATGTTTTAACCCTTTATGGACGGATTACTAGCACAGTATGCACCAGAATTACAAAATGTCAGTACAATTTTCAACTTTTCCATGTCATAACTTTGGTGTCCTTCACTTGATTTTCACAATCAAGGGCTCATTGGAAAACTCTTGGCGAGAGCTACGTCTGGGTACCAATCTCCATTATCTGGCCGCCACAAATCAGGCGCGGTAACACAGCAAAGTCGTCTCCAAGCCTGATATGCAAGGAAATTCGTCCCATCTACGCCATTCCACTCTCCTTCATCGCAGAACGCTCAAATCTGTTTGAGACGATTCAAACTTCAGCCGGCTACGTCATTATCATGTGCTTAGTCGCTCAAAGAGCACACGAAAAGGGATTTCCCCCCCCAAAATGGCGAAATGATCGATCAAAAATTTGAATTTGCCGAGGTAAGAATACGGCGTGCGATATCTCTGGCGTCCGACATTGTAACTCTTCGGCGATTGTTGCATTGGACAGCTTGGAGTTCCCGCTACCACGTAGATCCTTCGATTGTGGAATTTGGTCAAGAAACGATGGAGTTACGAAGTTACGAAGTTTCGATCTTATTAGATCGAAACTCGTACAGTCCGTCCACAAAGGGTTAATGGGGAATGGCCAGAGGTATAGATAGCACGCACAACGCCATTTCCTGCCACTAATCTGCACCAGCTATGACGTAATCGCAGAACTTCACCGTGATAGACATCCATGCAGAAAAATAGTCACACTCTGCACACACTGGGTTTCATGTACTCTTGGTGTACATCCTGTGTCATGTGACCAAGAGAGTCGTAGGCTGTGGGGAGACGGCACAGGCAACTCTAACCCTATATCTCCCGGGGTGTTCGACCCTGGGTGGCCGTTCACAGTCACCCTTGAGAGGGGGCCGATTTACTATAAACACGTTATTGTCGGTCAGGATGTAACTTTAAATTCGGTGATTTCGGTAGAGAAACCAAATATAGTCAGACCTCGCTTAACCGCACACATCCGTTTTCCACCAAAAAATATCCAGATAGGCGAGGGAACCGGATAACCAAACACACATACTGAGTCTATCTTTATACGCATGTAGCATATCCAAATATGTAAAATTGTACTTCCTCCGCGTCATCGAAATTGTCGCAGTTTGACTTTTGACGTAAAACGGGGTATTTACTCACCAGCACTCGTACCACAGGTAAGGAATCAGGCATAGGCGACGGTCATCATTATAGGGTGACGGCAAAGTATTCATTTCTGTTATTGGAAGCTGAAATTGCTGAACTAGACGCAATTTCTTCGCTGATGTCGCTGCGATGGTACTTTCGACTAGCTGACATCAGTCAGGCGTTGCAGCCTGCACATTTCTCGTGCTTATAGCCATTCACTCAAAGCCTCATCACTGTTTTACCTTAGCTGGGGTGAGAATGACTTCGTGGAACAAGCGGCAGCGCTTGGAGAAATATCGAGGGGTCAGGAAACTAAATGTATGCAAGAGCGATACAATTTGTCGCTCTGGCTCGAGACACTCAGTACATGATTGTACCTGCATTAGCCGTGTCGACTCTATATGTAGTGCTAGTGATGCACGCACAGGTGCCGTACCGGTCATGCTGGAAAAGGGTGCGCGCTGGACGTGATAGTACACTTACCTGCATGAGCTGTGACCACACAGCTAAAATAAATGGGCATGCCACAGCTAAAAAAAGTTCATTTCAAGATCGAGGTGATTCCGCCAACGGTAATCAGCCGACCTCGCAACGATCGTGTATTCTTACTTCGTTGGTGGTGAAGTAGAAATCATCCAGAGCGAACAGACGACAAGCATAGCAGCTCCTGTCCTGTGGGGAAAGTCAAAGCTTTTGAGATGAGGCGCGACCAACTGACTTACAACCTTCCTTGAAATATTTCGGAACGATATTTTTGCGTCCATTGACATCAGCGACGACGAGGTCTTCATCTCTGGGTGAAAACTCTCAGTCCAACTGTCCTGGAACGTTACTCTAGCCTTCAGACTATCATACTGTGTGCTAATTTTTGTATGGTTTAGCTTGTGGAGTTGTCAGTAACAAGTGACAAGTCACTAGTCAAACTGCGACAATTTCGATGACGCGGAGGAAGTACGTACAGGTGTATGGGTGCCATGCCGTGCAGCTAGCGTGCACATTGTGCGAAACAAGTGATACAAATGGCAACTGCATGCAAGTGAGTGCTACCGGTATGCAGCCAGCGGATCAAGGAGTCATACCAGCCCCGTTTTTTTTGTAAAACTCCCTGGTTTCAGCTTCTGAGGGCAACGTGCAACCTAATATGACGAAGCTTCGTAGACCTTTGAACCAATTTGTTCACCAAACCATGCACCTGCATGCGGATCACGAGGTCCGGTTATGTTGTATGCTTCATGTATGCTGTAAATCGGTAACCAGGGATTAAAGAGAACCGAATAAGCGAGGTCTGACTGTATCTATATTTAGATAACACCTAAAAGACACTAGAGTATGTACTGTATGGGAAGGGAAAGCTGGTCACTTAAATCTACATTTCACCAGAAACCTGTCAGGTTCCTGACACCGAAATTTTAATAAACCTGAAACAACAATATCATGTTTACAGTATACACACTGGCATAAAACATTGCTTGTCTGGTCTCACTTGGTGGTAGTAAGTCAAGGTTGTTCTCTCTGCTACAATTGTGAGCTGGGTACGACGGCAGTAATGTCAGAATCATAGTTTGCCCTTTTGAAGAGGTCAAGGCGTTTCTTCATGATCATAATGCCGTTGAATTACTTGCTTGTGCATTCATAAGTGGTGAGTATCACCAGCCTGTTCATTTCAAAGAATAGACTGGTGTTAAAAGAGTCATGGACACGAGGTTGTGGTCCAGTGATAGAAAGGGTTGTATGACGTATTCCAGTCTTCTTTGACCAGTATAATTTGATTGAGCTCCCCGAAAACCACAGGTTCTAAAAGTCTTATTGTCGTCCGTGATTTTTGTTAGAAGGAAGCAACGCTTCAAGTCAAATTTCGCACAAATCCCCTTCTAGTAGGATGAATACGAACACTTTTGCATTTCGGCAGATGTGCGCTGATTCAAATGGGATTATAGGGTGCAGGGAGCGTTGCGGCTTCCTCGAACAAACACAATTCAACTCAGCAGCCAGAAGATATTTCATGCTCACTTCATTGTGTGCATGCCTATACGTGTGTTGACTTTGCAGGGTCAAGCAGGCACCACAGGGCCATGGTCAAGCCAGCAATTCCGTAAGTGGATCCCACGTCTCAAAGCAGCGCTGAGCTGCGTTGCAATTCGTGTGGAATGCCTGGCCAAGGGGCTGCTCACCGATACGCAGAAGAAGGAATTGATGGGAGTAGAATATGATTCTTCCAAACACGATGACGGACTGCTAGTTATGCAGGGCATGGGTACAGCTGAGACTTTCCACACATTCTGTAGTATAGTGCGTAGCACCGAACCTGAAGCAAACTTTTCAAAGTTCCTAGATGACATGCAGTCAGTGGATACCTTTGTTGGTGGTAAGTAGAAATTTTATCAGTCAGGTGACTGAGAGATACTCACAGAATTGTACATAGGGGGTGTAGCTCGACCATCTGTGGTGTAGTGACTCTAACCTAGATCACATCTGTGGTTTGGTGTCCATGTACCAGGGAGTTGTATAGACACGGGACAGGACACGGCGCATAAAAGCGCAGAAGATGTGTGCCTCACGACCGCCGGGAAAGTCCCCGGGTTGAGATCGCAGGAGCCTCAGAATGTGCATATATTTTAAGATTTTTCTTGTTTTCGGGGCGGCTTCCCCAAAAATGAAAAAGTCATGAAAGAAATGGCTCGAAGAATACCCCAAGATCGATGAAGAAGAATACAGTAGAGTCGCGCGCCCAAGAACTTTGTTTCCAAGGTGTTACCTTGGGACGTTCTTATTTTGTCAGCAAAGTGGCTGCGTTCTTATAGCACGTTCATAGAAACGATCCGTCCTGGATCATATGTATCCCATAAGCGGCCGGACAACCAACACCGCCGTTCTTAGCTTTAGGCTGTGGCGTTCTTAGCATTTCAGGCTGGACGTTCTTTAGCGCACGGCTCGACTGTAAAGAAAGAAGCTTTCAGTGACAGCGGAGCAACAAAAAGAACGAGGGAGCATGGCCCGACTGTGCCCTTGTATCCCTAGATCACTTTTCTGGAAAGAAACGGCTAGGCGAGGTTGGACTAAAGAAACACAACACATCCACCACACCACTCGTCGTTCATTATGATGCCATTGTAAAAGATAGAAAAGGTGAATGGCGCCTGGAATCCTCAAAGACACTAATAGACACTAAAAAGAGCCCGGCCATATTTGTGTCGCTGTGTTCATATGTTGGGTTCCCGGAAAGAACCGAGTGGTCGAGTTTGGGCAAACGGAATGCACCACGTCAGTCACACCCACTGTCGGACGCAGAATATCCGAGAAATCACTTGTCTTCTTTCTCGTGCACGGCTTCATTTGTTCCCATTTTTCCACTTCGATTGGACTCAGTGAACTACAGTGCACTTTTCTAACATAAGCCAAAAAATTATTCAAAATGGGAAAGAGATCACCTCGGCAGGGCCATTTCCTCTGCGACAACTTTAGCACAGGGGTTTGGCGACATTAAAAGTTCAACGGCGTTGAGAGTACTCGGTGAGAAAAATTCACGAATACGGTTTTAAGTCGACTAGTCTGACTCTGTACCCGGAAATCTGTGCCGTGTCCTCTCCCGGGTCTATACAACTCCCTACCATGTACCACCGGCATCCTCATAGCCACCATTTTGCCTGTTAAAACTATGTAGTACCTATGACAACCATTTTCTAGTGTTGTGACGGCACTACACTGACTGCACAAGAGCTCTACTCCTAGGACGGTATACAGGCAGTATTGCGTGTGCTTGGAATCTTTTTGGTCCATTTCCATACAGGGCATATTGAGGGCACCAAACAGCGCTGAAGTTGTGCAATAGTGTTGATGTGTGTGTGTGTGTGTGTGTGTAACATTGCAGTTGGTGAGGGTAGTTGGTAGTTTTTGAGCTCTCGAATTTTGGAAGTTTTCTCAAGAATTCCTCACTCTGGGGCGGCTCTGGCCTCGTCCAGGGTCGTCCCAGGTTAGTTCAGGACCTGTTGAAGTAGATAGGGTCGCGGACTAAGATTTTTGAGGACCAGGGCTTCGCATGATGTTGCCACCTCAAGTTTCTCCGCGCGCCCTTCGTTCGGTGAGGAGTTGCAACCCCCGAACGTCCGCGACTGCACGAGATGAGCAGGTTCGAAACAGTACAGGACGTGGACGTTATTTGTCAGTGGGCACCTGGAATGTCCGGTCACTTGTGGAAAGCTCAGGCCCAATTGAAACTGCAGCTGTAACAGGAAAAGTCGTGGAGGATAAGAAAATCGAACGGGTCGTCGCGGAACTCTCGCGTCTGGCTGTGGATATTGCAGGACTTCAGGAGACACATTGGTTTGGTGAACAATCGTATCGTGTTGGTGGCTCTACTATTCTTACATCGGGTCGTCCTGTTCCTTCGGAGGACTCCAGTCGTCGACGAGGAGAAGGTGTTGCTGTCGTTTTGAATTTGAATTCAACGAACGCTTGGAAAGCAGGAGGCTGTGTCTGGAGAGCGTACAGCTCTCGCCTTGTCACCGTACGATTGAAGTTCAAAGTCCAGCGTGCTGTACGCTGGTACACTGTTATTGTGGCGTACGCTCCGACTTTCGCCAGCACTCGATCGGAGAAGGAGCACTTTTACGACTCCGTGCAGCGAGCGATTGACGACGTCCCTCGTGGTGACAGATACGTTCTACTCGGAGACTTCAACGCGCGAGTTGGCACTCGTGGCAGCCATGCTGAGCAGTCTAGGGATGAGTGGTGCACTGTGCGTGGCCCTCATGGCTTTGGGGAGATGAACTCCTCTGGAAAGGAACTATTAGATTTCCTGGCAATGAACAATGCTACAATCTGTAACACCTGGCACAACAAGAGACAAAATCTCAAACCAACCTGGCAACATCCTAAGTCACAGAAATGGCATTGCATTGACTACATCATCACTGGCCAGTGTGATAGGATGCTGTGCATGGATTCTCAGATCATCCCAAGTGCAGAGTGTGGCAGTGACCATCAACTGCTTTGTGCACGCTTCCTTCTTGGCACGTATCACCACTCTGTCAACCCGCAAGCTGTGCGTGTGCAACGTAGCAAGGGTCACTTCGACACGTCCAAGTTATTTCTTTCTGCCGATGCAAACAACAACCCTGATGATGGCGCCACCCCGTTGTCTGCTTATCAAGACGCGGTGTCCACTCTCGTATCAACACATTGGCGCCCGCATGATCCAATAGATGAAAAGTGGAACGTCCTCCGCGATGCTGTTGTCACTGCCGGAACGGACACTCTTGGTCAACGCAAGCGTAAACAACCTGATTGGTATGTGGACAGTGGCCCGACTATTGAACCTCTGTTACAGGAACGGAATCGGCTGCACGCGCTCTGGCTTCAACATCAACGTCCTAGGGATCACACTGCTTTCAAACAGGCTCGCAGTCAAGCGCGTGCCGGAGTGCGGAAGGCTAAACGTGACTGGATATCATCCAAGGCAGAGCTCGCCAATGCACAAAGATTCTCAGGACGAACTGTGTGGAAATGTGTTCGTGCACTACAAACAGTCGAACAAGGCCCGACCCGCATCACAACTGCTGCGATCAACGACGAGAATGGAAATCCATGTGCATCTGCCGAAGACCAGGGCAAACGTTGGGGCCGTCATTTCTCTGGTGTTCTGAATGTGCAAAGTACGTTCAATTCCAGTATTCTTGACTGTGTTCCACAAATGCCGTGTCTGGATAGTTTGGTTGCGCCGCCTGATCTGTTGGAGTTACAGCAGGCAATCACGCAATGTCGAAGTGGCAAAGCTGCAGGTCAGTCAGGAATCCTGCCGGAGATGCTCAAAGCCTGTCCAGATCTGTTTACTGACCACCTACTGGAGCTTCTCCATTCAGTCTGGGACAGTGGCAGTGTTCCTGGCGACTGGGTCAACGCGCAGCTGGTGCCTATCCCCAAGAAAGGTAACCTTGCAGAATGTGACAACTGGCGAGGCATAGCTCTCCTCGACGTTATTGGTAAAGTGGTTGCTCGCGTCATCCAGAGCCGACTTGCTGATAAACTAGACGATGTGCTACCAGACTCTCAGTGCGGCTTCCGCACAGGACGCGGGTGTGCTGACATGATCTTTGCGGCAAGGCAACTAATCGAAAAGAGCTACGAGCATGAGCAGAAGTGTTTCTTCATCTTCATTGACCTGAAGAAAGCCTATGACTCAGTTCCGCGAGAGTGTCTGTGGTTAGTACTGCGAAAAGCTGGCGTCCCCGAGAAGCTGATCGCTGTTATCCGTGCATTCCATGACGGCATGACCGCAACTCTCCGTCTGTCGAATGTTGAAGCTGACCCCATCCCTGTGACGAACGGCTTGCGGCAGGGATGTTGCATGGCCCCTGTCCTATTCAACATCTTCATGTGGGCAGTGATGCATTGTTGGCGCCAGCACGTGCAGCCTATCCCTGGTGTAGGCGCAAAGGTCTTCTTCGAGCCAGATGGGAAGCTACTCCACCACCGTAGCCGCCGTGATAGATCCCTGGAGCTGACAGAGTGTCAGTTTGCTGATGATTCCGCTCTTGTGGCCGCGACACGCCAGGCCGCAGTTTCAGCCTTGGAGGTATTTGTGGATGTATGCAGCGATTTTGGCCTCACCGTCAGTGCCACCAAAACCAAGTTCATGGTCTCTGGCCCCAACATCTCTAACGACGATCTAGAGCCGCTCGCGATTCGAACTATGGAGATTGCCCATGTGTCCTCTTTTCGTTACCTTGGATCCAACATACACAGCAACGGACGATGTCATGATGATGTCACATCCCGGATTGCACAAGCTGCCAAAGCGTTTGGCGCTCTGAAGAAATCGATATTCCACGATGTAACACTGACAATATCCATCAAACGGTCAGTGTACAATGCTTGTGTGCTGTCGACTCTGCTCTATGGGTCCGAATGCTGGGTACCGCTACAGGCTGATGTTCATACGTTGTCTGTCTTTCATCTCCGTTGTGTCCGCACCATTCTGGGCATCAGTCGTCAAGATGTATGGAATGACAGGATAACTAATGTTGAAGTTCTGGAGCGCTGGGGAGATACCTTGGACATGGAGTGTCGTCTCAGCAGACGTCGCCTTGAGTGGCTTGGTCATGTGGCAAGGATGGAGGATGAACGCATCCCGAAGGCTCTACTGTTCGGTTCGTTTCCAAACAAGAGACCTGCCCATGGTCCGCGGAAAAGGTGGCGAGACTGTGTTCGGAGTGACGTCAAACCACTTGACGACTGGTATGAAGTGGCCACCTCTTCTCGCTCCAAATGGCGCCAGGCTTACCGTTGTCTGCCAGACAAGCAGAACAGACCTCGACCATCACCGGTTGTGTGCCAAACTTGTCACCGCTCCTTCAGTCGTGTAAGTGACAGGAAACGACACAAGTGTACAGCTACGCGTGCCCTACCCGTAAGCCAACAGCCAGGAAGCTGTCACTGCGATCAGTGCGACAGATGGTTCCGGAGCAAGGGTGGATTTGCCCGACACAAGTGCTCGCCAGCAACATCACCAGCAGAGGCATCTTCTGACACACTTGAGTCACCGGTTACAAACAATATGTCCTGCGAACGCTGCAGCTTCCACTGCGCCCGCTGCAACCACTGTGTGCTATCGCGCCAAGGCATGAAACGTCACAAGTGCAGCCGTGGCTCGGCCAGAGCAACCAACACAGACCGTAGCTCCTTCTGCATCGTTTGCAATTGCGGTCGGCGTTTCAGTAGACCACAGGACCTATCCCGTCATCGCCCCTACTGTTCCGAACCTGCTCAACCCCCCATGGGGTCCGCATAGCCAGAATATGGCAGCGCGTCCAAGGTCCAAGGTCCAAGGTGTGTGTGTGTGTGTGTGCATGTGTGTGTGTGTGTGTGTGTGTGTGTGTGTGTGTGTGTGTGTGTGTGTGTGTGTGTGTGTGTGTGTGTGTGTGTGTGTGTGTGTGTGTGTGTGTGTGTGTGCATGTGTGTGTGCATGTGTTTATGTATGTTGGGGGGGGGGGTCGATTTACATGGCTTCGCCAGTTGTGTGGATTAGACAGTTATCTTGGGTTTGTCTTGATCTGTTTGAATCAAAATCGGATCCGCTATTGTTGCTATAAGAGAAAATCTGTGGGTGCACATCCAGTGCATTTGCAGATTTGGTGTGCTTCTCTTGTGACGGGGGTATACATGGTATATGGTACATGGTGTGTGCATGCAAGCAGGCATTTTGCAAGGCAGTGAAAACACACTTTGGCTATTTGCTGTTCTCTGTGTCCTCTCTAACACAGGCAGTGAAGATGCAGCGAATAGAGTAACTCGTCGTCAATCAGCCCAGCTCATCAGGAACCCACCACTATCACCCAGCCAAGCAACTCAGTCTCCGCCAGCCACAGCACCCAAACCAAAGCCTGTTGTTGAACCCCAGGCTACTCACGCATCTCCTTCCAAGCGCAGCAGTATCTCCGAAAGGTTAGCGGCCTCGAATTCAGCCAGCCAGGAAGGGAAACTGGCTGGAACTTTACCTTCGAAACCTAGTCGAGCCCCCAAGCCTCCCACTCGCCCAAAGCCCGTCACTCCCCACAACACATCAAGAACAGTGGAAACTAAGGATCCCACTACGGTTCACAGTGTGCAGCCGGTAGTGACTTCTGGTCCCGTTTCTCCTTCACGACCACCGCTCTGTGACCGCGCACTACTAGCGGCAGGCGGTAACCAACCAGATGGCACTGAGGCGGCGACATCTGGCCCAGCTGATCCCAAGTCCTCTCCGAAACCTGGACAAGCTCCTCCGTTCAGGTCTGCTAGTGTCTCTACACTTGAATCTAGTTTTGAATCGGATAGGCAAGAAACAGGAAGACTGGTCCTGGATCGAGCCCCAAAGCCAAAAAAGCGCCCAAACTCCATGGTAGTTGGCAGCACAGCTAGCTTGGCCAGGAGCCCAGCAATAGCAGTTGGCAAAGACACGGGCGGACATGCGGTGCAGCATGGACAGCAACCAGCGCCCCCCGAAGAAGGCTTATCTGCCAAGCACATTGCTCCGCCTAAGACTGGACGCGAGTCCATCGCCAAGACGGTGACAGGAGATTCAGCAACGCCTCCCCGTGCAAACTCTCTGGTAAGAGATAATAATTCTAAGTTTCAGGAGTCGCACAGTAAGCACAGAGTGGGATCATCATCAATCCACACTCTTTGCATATTTCTTGAGCAGGAGGGCGGGGGGGGGGGGGGGGAGGGCGCAGCTGATGATCAGATGCTTTAACACAACTGTGCACTGATACCTCGTTTACAAGAACGCGAGGGGTCCGAGACCGGGCACTACCCGGAACTTTGAAATTTCTGTTACTCTAAGTCACTGGCCACTAATCTGCACCAGCTATGACGTAATCGCAGAACTTCACCGTGATGGACATCCATGCAATGAGTATAACAGATATAAAGAAGCCCAGAGGTCGCCCAGTGACCAGATGGGTAGACAACATTAGGAATTACCTTTTACTTCTCAATATGTCTCTTTTGGAAGCGGAGCAACTTGCCTCAGACAGAACGCACTGGCTCGACGTTGTCGACAGATGCATGACCCTCATTTGATTTTTCGTATGAGCTATATGCGTGCTGTATTATTATTATTATTATTATTATTATTATTATTAAGTCACGTAATAATATTATGTTTTAATGGGGAATGGCCAGAGATATGGATAGTACGCACTACGCCGTTTCTTGCCACTAATCTGCACCAGCTGTGACGTAATCGCAGAACTTCACCGTGATAGACATCCATGCAGAAAAATAGTCACACTCTGCATACTCTGGGTTTCATGTACTCTTGGTGCACATCCTGGGTCATGTGACCAAGGGGAGTTGTAGGGTGTGGGGAGACGGCACAGGCAACTCTAACCCTATATCTCCCGGGGTTTCGAACCTGGGTGGCCGTTCACAGTCCCTCTTGGGGCAGGGCCGATGTACTATAATACATGTTATTTTCGGTCAGGATGTAACTTTAAATTCGGTGATTTCAGTAGAGAAACCAAATATAGTCAGACCTCGCTTAACCACGCAAATTCGTTTTCCACCAAAAAATATCCAGATAGGCGAGGGAACCGGATAAACCGAACGCACATACTGAGTGTATCTTTGGATATGCATGTAGCATATCCAAATATGTAAAATTGTACGTACATGTGTATGCGTGCCATGCCGTACAGCTAGCGTGCACATTGTGTGGCAAAAAAGTGATACAAATGACAACTGCATGCAAGTAAGTGCTACCCGTATGCAGCCAGCGGATCAAGGAGTCATGCCAGCCCCGTTTGTTTGTAAAACTCCGTGGTTTCAGCTTCTGAGAGCAACGTGTAACCTAATATGACGAAGCTTCGTACACCTTTGAACCAGTTTGTTGTACATGTGCCTGCACGTGTAGTCTCTTTGTCGTACCTGCTAACAGGTACGTAATGCTGCTGTAGTTGTGTCTCTGTGTGTACATCTGGCTGCACGTGTTGTCTCTTTGTCGTATCTGCTGCTGTATTTGTGTCTCTGTGCTGCTGACCCGTACGTACATGCTGCTGCGCTGCTTTGTTGCTGACACGTGCACCTTTTTGTGCTGAGTACACCACTTTTTGTGCTGACGAGGGCACCATTTTTTGATTTCATGTTTTCCTTTTTGCCATGTCAGTCGTCAGTCGTTCGTTGTCAGAGTCAGTCGTTCGTTGTCAGTGTTAGTTGTTAGTCATGAGTTCTCCGATCGGATCCTGAGGTGTAGTAATGAAAAGCTCTCTCTCTAGCTCTAGAGAAAAACCACTTGACTAGTCCGTTTGATGTGTGGCGTGGCGAGGGTAATGTAGAAGAGGCAGTTCGTTCTCCCAACCGAGACGACATTTGGCGCCCAACATATCGAAACCACGACCCTGAAGCTCGTCGCTGTGTCAGCCGGTGTTCCTCTTCTCGTCGCCACTCCACCAATGTCTCATGAACGTCCAAGCCTCTCGGGAGAGCGCCTACTCAGGTGAGCATGCCTTTGTAATTGTCTGCTCTGCGTAATGTGTTGCCGTACCTTGTATTCTATTCCGAATTTTCAAATTGTATTGCGTTGGGTGACTCGGGTCCTGGCAGGCGTGGAACCTTGTTCTCTTGTGCTCGAGTGTGTAGTGTAGTCTTGCTGCTCGTTGTGAGTTCGCCCCGTTGTGTTAGTTGTTCCTATGTTGCTCTGACTACCCTGTACTGTACTGTTGTGTGTATTATTTCAAACTTCTGAAATTTCAAACTTCTGTTCGTGCGCTTCTCGTTCGAATCTGGAACTTATAAGTTGTGTTTGCATGCTCGTCGTGACTTCAGCATGGGTAGCTTTGCGCTCGTCTTGTGTTGTGCCCTTGTGCTTGTCAGGGAGTTGCTGTCGGACTGCTCCGATCTTGAGACTGTGTCGCGTGATTTGTTTAGAGGTCCCCCTGAATGTTCTCGATGTGCTGCATCGTATGTAGTCGTTCCGTATTGTTTTGTTTCGTGTTTCTACCGTTTTACTAGTAGTAGTAGTTTCTCCATGTTCCGTGCAGAGCGTTGTCAGGCTCGGTCATGCACTGTGAACCCAGTCGGAAAGCTAATGGCTTCCGGTTTGGTGGGAAGTGTGATCTTCATAATAGGATTCTCGTTTTAGATCCAGGTTTTTGTGAGCGTATTGTTTTGTAATATTGTGTTTCGGCATGTGGATCTCTCTAGTTCGTGTGGGTGGGCGTCTGATCATGGTGAGCCACGGTCTGCCTGCTGGTCTGCAGGGATCCTGCGCTTTTTTTGTATCGGTTTGCCTTTTTTCTTCATTATTTTTTGCGTATTGGTAACCGATTTGTTTGTGTGTCCTCACTGGTGTCCTCACTGATAAATTGCTCCTGTTTCAGTCGACGTGTTCTTCCTGGCTGTTCTTCCCTTCCTTCGTGTGCTTTTCTGATTTTTGGCGATGGCTGAGATGTTTGCGTCAGTCCGTGTTTCTTTCTGTGTGTGTCTTTCTGTCTCTGTGAGCTTTCGTAGCCCCATCGGCTGCGTGATGGTTTGCTGCGTGATGGTTTTCCGGTCAACTCCTGTGCTGCCAGATGCCTGGTCACCCGGTTCAGCTGCCGCGGTCTTCGCAGTGCCGTCGGTTTGCCTTGGCTTCGCACCAGGGCAACGTGGTTACTTCGTGGGGGCCCACACCTGAAAGTATGGTGGTTCCCTCTATGGGTGGGCCCGGTCTGTGTTCTTTTCACACCTTTGTGCCTTGGCTTTTCCCCGTTGTCCGGAGTTACGTCTGTTACTGTTTGGCCCTGCACGTTTTGTTAAGCCTAGTTCACATTCGACGCAACGCCGACGGTACGTGACGTAATGGCTTGTCGGGAGGGCAGGGGTGAGCTGTAAAATCCTGTACGATTCGTACGACACGACATGCAGCAGTCGTTGCGAAGTTCAACTTCGAACGGCGCGAGTCATAAGGCACGGCCTGTGACGGGGTGACTTTCGGACCTAATTTCTCGTTTTTCGGGAGTTCTTTTCAATTATTTCTCCTTGAAAGAAGCGGAATCAAGTTCACAATACCAGTTTTCATGAAGACCAAAAAATTAGCCCTGAAAGTTGTGGCATTCAAATAATAGCCCCAGGAAATGATAGAATAGTTCGTCTGTCACGCTTCTGAACTATCCCTAAATACAATAAGTGACATGAGATCTTATGTTGCTAAAATTCAACTCAAGTCGTGCTAGCCATTCTGTGAGTTATCATGGGAAGCGCAGTGTTCGAAATGCTAAAAAATTCAAAGTACAAATCAGGAGTAGTCGCGCACGACGCCGTCTCCTGTTCACACTCAAATTGCAGCCATTTTGTACGCTTGCGTCCCCGTCTACGCCCGTCTACGGTATGAACAGTTGGATCGATCCAACTCTTCCCGTCGCTTCCCGATCTGTACGGTAGTACGGTTGCGTTCCCGTTCCTGGTGTTCACATTGGACGCCGTCAGACCGTCCCGTCGCTTCCCGTCGATCCTTACGTCGCGTCCCGTTGCGCCCCGTCGAATGTGAACTAGGCTTTAATATTCTCCTCTGCATGTTGTTCACATTTTGATTTCTTTTTCTCCTGTCTTCCTTCTAATTTTGTTTTGATTGCTTCCATCCACAGGAGTGGATGTTTTTTTTGGTAGGGGATAGTGTTGTACATGTGCCTGCACGTGTTGTCTCTTTGTCGTATCTGCAGCTGTATTTGTGTCCCTGTGCTGCTGACCCGTACATGCTGCTGCGCTGCTTTGTTGCTGACACGTGCACCTTTTTGTGCTGACGAGGGCATCAATTTCTGATATCGTTTTTCCTTTTTGCCATGTCAGTCGTCAGTGTTAGTTGTTAGTTATGAGTTCTCCGATCGGATCCTGAGGTGTAGTAATGAAAAGCTCTCTCTCTAGCTCTAGAGAAAAAACCACTTGACTAGTCGTTTGATGTGTGGCGTGGCGAGGGTAACGTAGAAGAGGCAGTTCGTTCTCCAACCGAGACGACAAGTTTGTTCACCAAACCATGCACCTGTGTGCGGATCGCGAGGTCCGGTTATGTTGTATGCATCATGTATGCTGTAAATCGGTAACCAGTGATTTTCTTCCGGATAGCGAGGTATCCGGATTAAAGAGAACCGGATAAGCGAGGTCTGACTGTATCTATATTTACCGTATTTTCCGGGGTATAAGCCGCACTTTTTTTCGCTAAAAATCGGACCAAAATCGCCCCTGCGGCTTATACAGCGAATATGCTTGCGCGAATGAATGCTTAGCACACATCAGTATGCATGCTGACGTCATGTGACATGTCATTCGACTCAGCTCCGCGCCTGTGTTGCTATCCCGGCACTTTTACTAGTTTTAGTGCGCGGGCTACACCATACGGTACGCGTATACGGGGACTTGATTTTTCATAATCTGATCTAACATGGTATTTAGCTCCATAACCATAATAGATTTGTAGAAAGGCCATTTGTCAATGAATGTGAAAAATCTTGGTTTGTGGGTGCGGCTTATACTCCGAATACCAACTTTTAGTCAATATTTTGCCTCAAAAAGGGGGGTGCGGCTTATACCCCGGAAAATACGGTAGATAACACCTAAAAGGCACTAGAGTATGTACTGTATGGGAAGGGAAAGCTGGTCACCTAAATCTACATTTCACCAGAAACCTGTCAGGTTCCTGACACCGAAATTTTTATTAACCTGAAACAACAATATCATGTTTACAGTATACACACTGGCATAAAACATTGCTTGTCTGGGCTCACTTGGTGGTAGTAAGTCAAGGTCGTTCTCCCTGCTACAATTGTGAGCTGGGTACGACGGCAGTAATGTCAGAATCATAGTGTGCCCTTTTGAAGAGGTCAAGGTGATTCTTCATGATCATAATGCAGTTGAATTACTTGCTGGTGCATTCATAAGTGGTGAGTACCACCAGCCTGTTCATTTCAAAGAAAAGACTGGTGTTGAAAGAGTCATGGACACGAGGTTGTGGTCCAGTGGTAGAAAGGGTTGTATGACGTATTCCAGTCTTCTTTGACCAGTATAATTTGATTGAGCTCCCCAAAGACCACAGGTTCTAAAAGTCTTATTGTCGTCCGTGATTTTTGTTAGAAGGAAGCAACGCTTCAAGTCAAATTTCGCACAAATCCCCTTCTAGTAGGATGAATACGAATACTTTTGCATTTCGGCAGATGTGCGCTGATTCAAATGGGATTATAGGGTGCAGGGAGCATTGCGGCTTCCTCGAACAAACACAATTCAACTCAGCAGCCAGAAGATATTTCATGCTCACTTCATTGTGTGTATGACTGTATGTGTGTTGACTTTGCAGGGTCAAGCAGGCAACACAGGTCCATGGTCAAGCCAGCAATTCCGTAAGTGGATCCCACGTCTCAAAACAGCCCTGAGCTGCGTTGCAATTCGTGTGGAATGCCTGGCCAAGGGGCTGCTCACCGATACGCAGAAGAAGGAATTGATTGGAGTAGAAGATTATTCTGCCAAACACAATGACGGACTGCTAGATATGCTGAGCAGGGGTACAGCTGAGACTTTCCACACGTTCTGTACTATTGTGCGTAGCACCGAACCTGAAGCAAACTTTTCAAAGTTCCTAGATGACATGCAGTCAGTGGATACCTTTGTTGGAGGTAATTAGAATTGTTATCAGTCAGGTGACTGAGAGACACTCACAGAATTGTACATAGGGGGTGTAGCTCGACCATCTGTGGTGTAGTGACTCTAACCTAGATCACATCTGTGGTTTGGTGACCATGTACCAGGGAGTTGTATAGACACGGGACAGGACACGGCGCATAAAAGCGCAGAATATGTGTGCCTCACGACCGCCGGGAAAGTCCCCGGGTTGAGATCGCAGGAGCCTCAGAATGTGCATATATTTTAAGATTTTTCTTGTTTTCGGGGGTGCTTCCCCAAAAATGAAAAAAGTCACGAAAGAAATGGCTCGAAGAATACCCCAAGATCGAGGAAGAATACAGTAGAGTCGCGCGCCCAAGAACGTTGTTTCCAAGGTGTTAGCTTGGGACGTTCTTATTTTGTCAGCAAAGTTGCTGCGTTCTTATAGCACGTTCATAGAAACGATCCGTCCTGGATCATATGTATCCCATAAGCTGCCAGACAACCAACACCGCCGTTCTTAGCTTTAGGCTGTGGCGTTCTTAGCATTCCAGGCTGGACGTTCTTTAGCGCATGGTTCGAGTGTAAAGAAAGAAGCTTCCAGTGACAGCGGAACAACAAAAAGAACGAGGGAGCATGGCCCGACTGTGCCCTTGTATCCCTAGATCACTTTTCTGGAAAGAAACGGCTAGGCGAGGTTGGACTAAAGGAACACAACACGTCCATCACACCACTCGTCGTTCATTATGATGCCATCGTAAAAGATAGAAAAGGTGAATGGCGCCTGGAATCCTCGAAGAAACTAATAGACACTAAAAAGAGCCCGGCCATATTGGGCCGATGTGTTCATAGGTTGGGTTCCCGGAAAGAACCGAGTGGTCGAGTTTGGGCAAACGGAATGCACCACGTCAGTCACACCCACTGTCGGACGCAGAATATCCGAGAAATCACTTGTTTTCTTTCTCGCGCACGGCTTCATTTGTTCCCATTTTTCCACTTCGATTGGGCTCGTTGAACTACAGTGCACTTTTCTAACATTAGCCAAAGAATTGTTCAAAATGGGAAAGAGATCACCTCGGCAGGGCCTTTTCCTCTGCGACAACTTCATCACAGGAGTTTGGCGACATTAAAAGTTCAACGGCGTTGAGAGTACTCAGTGAGAAAAATTCACGGATATGGTCTTAAGTCGACTAGTCTGACTCTATTACAGGGTGCGACAGAGCTCTCGGCCATTGAAGAAAATGTTGAGTCACCTCCACCATTAAGCTGCGCTCTTTAGCCAACTAGACCCTCCTGCACACAATCATCACCATTGCGAGGACACTTCCGTAGACGATATTGATAAACTCTTTCAGACAGCTGTTTCGCTATTACATAGCTCATCAGTGAAGGTAGATGTTGAATGATTAAAAATATAGACCAAACTGCTATTATATAGGGGGTTTCCACATACAAAACTGGCATAGCTGAGGTGATAACGCGGGGAAAAGAACAGGGTGAAGTACTGTTGACGCGCCTTGGACATGCATGCAGCGTCGAAAATTTGGCGCGGAAAATCAATCACTATTCAATGCAGAAATAACGTGCCAGAATCAGAGTACTATGTAGCCAGTGAGAGTCTGTGTACTAGTATTGCAGTTGTCCGAGTGCCGGCATGAAGGCCTGCGAACGCACCTCACGACTCGCCGACGTCGACAGCCACAGCAGCCCCTGGGGCATGACACTGTACTGCTCGCCCGTCGCGCCAAGACGCTTGGCAGTCACTAGGCTTCATGCCACCGATGTTGTCCGCAAACTACCTTGTTATCTGCCCATCACCCACTGCCGCTGACAGTCTGACTCGGTACCTGGAAATCTGTGCCGTGTCCTCTCCCGGGTCTATACAACTCCCTACCATGTATCACCGACAACCTCATAGCCACCATTTTGCCTGTTTTGACTATGTAGTACCTATGACAGCCATTTTCTAGTGTTGTGACGGCACTACGCTGACTGCACAAGAGCTCTACTCCTAGTACGGTATACAGGCAGTATTGCGTGTGCTTGGAATCTTTTTGTTCCATTTCCATACAGGGCATATTGATGGCACCAAACAGCGCTGAAGTTGTGCAAAAGTGTTTGTCACGATGTGTGTGTGTGTGTGTGTGTGTGTGTTTATGTGTGTGTGCATGTGTGTGTGCATGTGTTTATGTATGTTGGGGGGGGGGGGTCGATTTACATGGCTTTGCCACTTGTGTGGATTAGACAGTTATCTTGGGTTTGTCTTGATCTGTTTCAATCAAAATCGGATCCGCTATTGTTGCTATAAAGAGAAAATCTGTGGGTGCACATCCAGTGCATTTGCAGATTTGGTGTGCTTCTCTTGCGACGGGGGTATACATGGTATATGGTACATGGTGTGTGCATGCAAGCAGGCATTTTGCAAGGCAGTGAAAAAACACTTTGTCTATTTGCTGTTCTCTGTTTCCTCTCTAACACAGGCAGTGAAGATGCAGCAACTGCAGTAACTCGACGTCAATCAGCCCAGCTCATCAGGAACACACCACCATCACCCAGCCAAGCAACTCAATCTCCGCCAGCCACAGGACACAAACCAAAGCCTGTTGTTGAACCCCAGGCTACTCACGCATCTCCTTCCAAGCGCAGCAGTATCTCCGAAAGGTTAGCGGCCTCGAATTCAGCCAGCCAGGAAGGGAAACTGGCTGGAACTTTACCTTCGAAACCTAGTCGAGCCCCCAAGCCTCCCACTCGCCCAAAGCCCGTCACTCCCCACAACACATCAAGAACAGTGGAAACTAAGGATCCCGCTACGGTTCACAGTATGCAGCCGGTAGTGACTTCTGATCCCGTTTCTCCTCCACGACCACCGCTCTGTGACCGCCCACTACTAGCGACTGGCGGCAACCAACCAGATGGCACTGGGACGGCGACATCTGGCCCAGCTGATCCCAAGTCCTCTCCGAAACCTGGACAAGCTGCTCCTTTCAGGTCTGCTAGTGTCTCTACACTTGAATCTAGTTTTGAATGGGATAGGCAAGAAACAGGGAGACTGGTCCCGGATCGAGCCCCAAAGCCAAAACAGCGCCCAAACTCCATGGCAATTGGCAGCACAGCTAGCTTGGCCAGGAGCCCAGCAATAGCAGTTGGCAAAGACACGGGCGGACATGCGGTGCAGCATGGACAGCAACCAGCGCCCCCCGAAGAAGGCTTATCTGCCAAGCACATTGCTCCGCCTAAGACTGGACGCGAGTCCATCGCCAAGACGGTAACAGGAGATTCAGCAATGCCTCCCCGTGCAAACTCTCTGGTAAGAGATATAATTATAAGTTTCAGGAGTCGCAGTGCACTATGCTTAAACTTATAATATAATACAATATTTTTGTAATGGAAAACTGAAGTAAGCACAGAGTGGGATCGTCATCAATCCACACTCTTTGCATATTTCTTGAGCAGGAGGGGGGGGGGGGGGGGCGCAGCTGATGATCAGATGCTTTAACACAACTGTGCACTGATACCTCGTTTACAAGAACGCGAGGGGTCCGAGACCGGGCACTACCCGGAACTTTGAAATTTCTGTTACTCTAAGTCACGTAATAATATTATGTTTTAATGGGGAATGGCCAGAGGTATAGATAGCACGCACAACGCCATTTCCTGCCACTAATCTGCACCAGCTATGACGTAATCGCAGAACTTCACCGTGATGGACATCCATGCAGAAAAATAGTCACACTCTGCACACACTGGGTTTCATGTACTCTTGGTGTACATCCTGTGTCATGTGATCAAGGGGGTTATAGGCTGTGGGGAGACGGCACAGGCAACTTTAACCCTATATCTCCCGGGGTTTCGACCCTGGGTGGCCGTTCACAGTCCCTCTTGGGGCAGGGCCGATATACTATAAAACGTGTTATTTTCGGTCAGGATGTAACTTTAAACTCGGTGATTTCGGTAGAGAAACCAAATATAGTCAGACCTCGCTTAACCGCGCAAATCCGTTTTCCACCAAAAAATATCCAGATAGGCGAGGGAACCGGATAACCGAACACACGTACTGAGTCTATCTTTATATGCATGAGGGATATCCAAATATGTAAAATTGTACTTCCTCCGCGTCATCGAAATTGTCGCAGTTTGACTTTTGACGTAAAACGGGGTATGTACTCACCAGCACTCGTACCACAGGTAAGGAATCGGACATAGGCGACGGTCATCATTATAGGGTGACGGCAAAGATTTCATTTCTGTTATTGGAAGCTGAAATTGCTGAACTAGACGCAATTTCTTCGCTGATGTCGCTGCGATGGTACTTTCGACTAGCTGACATCAGTCAGGCGTTGCAGCCTGCACATTTCTCGTGCTTGTAGCCATTCACTCAAAGCCTCATCACTGTTTTACCTTAGCTGGGGTGAGAATGACTTCGTGGAACAAGCGGCAGCGCTTGGAGAAATATCGAGGGGTCAGGTAACTAAATGCATGCAAGAGCGATACAATTTGTCGCTCTGGCTCGAGGCACTCAGTACATGATTGTACCTGCAAGAGCCGTGTAGACTCTTTATGTAGTGCTAGTGATGCACGCGCAGGTGCCGTACCGGTGATGCTGGAAAAGTGTGCGCGTTGGACGTGATAGTACACTTACCTGCATGAGCTGTGACAACACAGCTAAAATAAATGGGCATGCCACAGCTAAAAAAAGTTCATTTCAAGATCAAGGTGATTCCGCCGACCGTAATCAACCGACCTCGCAACGATCGTGTATTCTTACTTCGTTGGTGGTGAAGTAGAAATCATCCAGAGCGAACAGACGACAAGCATAGCAGCTCCTGTCCTGTGGGGAAAGTCAAAGCGTTTGAGATGAGGCGCGACCAACTGACTTACAACCTTCCTTGAAATATTTCGGAACGATATTTTTGCGTCCATTGACATCAGCGACGACGAGGCCTTCATCTCTGGGTGAAAACTCTCAGTCCCACTGTCCTGGAACGTTACTCTAGCCTTCAGACTATCATACTGTGTGCTAATTTTTGTATGGTTTAGCTTGTGGAGTTGTCAGTAACAAGTAACAAGTCACTAGTCGAACTGCGACAATTTCGATGACGCGGAGGAAGTACGCACATGTGTATAGGTGCCATGCCGTACAGCTAAGTTAGCGTGCACATTGTGTGAAACAAGTGATACAAATGGCAACTGCATGCAAGTGAGTGCTACCCGTATGCAGCCAGCGGATCAAGGAGTCATACCAGCCTCGTTTGTTTGTAAAACTCCCTGGTTTCAGCTTCTGAGAGCAATGTGCAACCTAATATGACGAAGCTTCGTACACCTTTGAACCAATTTGTTCACCAAACCATGCACCTGTGTGCGGATCGCGAGGTCCGGTTATGTTGTATGCATCATGTATGCTGTAAATCGGTAACCAGTGATTTTCTTCCGGATAGCGAGGTAACCGGATTAAAGAGAACCGGATAAGCGAGGTCTGACTGTATCTATATTTAGATAACACCTAAAAAGGCACTAGAGTATGTACTGTATGGGAAGGGAAAGCTGGTCACTTAATTCTACATTTCACCTGAAACCTGTCAGGTTCCTGACACCGAAATTTTAATAAACCTGAAACAACAATATCATGTTTACAGTATACACACTGGCATAAAACATTGCTTGTCTGGGCTCACTTGGTGGTAGTAAGTCAAGGTCGTTCTCTCTGCTACAATTGTGAGCTGGGTACGACGGCAGTAATGTCAGAATCATAGTTTGCCCTTTTGAAGAGGTCAAGGTGTCGCTTCATGATCATAATGCAGTTGAATTACTTGCTGGATTTCGGAGGATGTGCGCTGATTCATTTGGGAATGTAGGGTGCAGGGAGCGTTGTGGCTTCCTCGAACAAACACCATTCAACTCAGCATCCAGAAGATATTTCATGCTCACTTCATTTTGTGTATGCCTATATGTGTGTTGACTTTGCAGGGTCAAGCAGGCAACACAGAGCCATGTTCAAGCCAGAAGTTCCGTAAGTGGATCCTAAGTCTCAAAGCAGCGCTCAGGTGCGTTGCAATTCGTGTGGAATGCCTGGCCAAGGGACTACTCACCGATTCGCAGAAGAAGGAATTGATGGGAGTAGATAATGACTTTGCCAAACACAATTGCTTACTGCTTAAAGGGGACGTTAAGGCTAAAATCAAAATTTCACCAGTTGTGGTCTTCGGGGTGCTTAGTCGAATGGTAGTGGTCCGAGGATGCTGAGACGCTCCCTTCCTACTTTAATCCCAATCAAACTCGCGCACTTCCACCGAAACTGGGTGACTGCGCCCTACTAGATGGGGATTTGTATGCAAAATGTCACTAAAAGCGCCATGTCGTACTTATGAAAGCACGGATGACCGTATCTGTAATCATTGTGCCAACTAGTAGTCTGTTGGAGGTCTAGCAACTCGGCCCCTTCTGCGGCCTCTAAGGTAGCTTGTGGTCCTTCCTCGCCTCGGATGTCCTCGGTATGCCTCGGCAGGACTCCTGTAGGAACTCTGCGCTCTGGCGAGCAGTACCTCTCCAGAGATGGCAATGAGTCGTCGGTCCTCTTCTGAAAATAGGTCCGACGACCGCAGTTGCTGCACCAGACGTCTCTGCTGGGGAGGGAGGCACTCGTAGGCGATGTCGGTCCTGGCCGACTGGAGTGCGGCCAGCTGAGTGACCGCGACTGTTTCGACTCGGGATCGGAGCTCTTCTGTGCGACTGTCGAGTTGACAGAGACGGATGATGGTGGAGGTATGTCTGGCGAGCTGTCTTGCAGGGCCGCGCCTTCCCGCTGGAGACCAGCGGATGAAGTCGGTAACTCGAGCTGCGGGGGGGAGCGCGACGTCTCGGGTCACGCGCTTGATGTGTCGGGTGAGGATCTCCAAGGTTCTAGTGTCCTTGATTGCGTCGAGTAAGTATAACCCAGCAACTTGGATGGCCAGTCTGGAGGCCACGTCCTGCGTAGCGGTTCCACTGTGGACTGCTTCAGGGTGAGGTCGTCATCAGGATCGGCGCGTTCTGAAGCGAGTGAACCAAGCACAATGTAGGTCGGATGCAGACAAAGTACATGCAACAAATATAATACTTGCGAGTTGGGCCCTTGACGTGTACCGAAGCGGCCAACAAATTGAAGTGAGGTCTTACCCTCACCATTTGGTTCTTATAAGACAAATTTAGGTGCCTTCGATCTATCTATTTTTTCACACTTACGTGCCATCTCACTCTTGCCAAAGCATTTTGGAAGTTGGACTAGTAAGTTTCGGCTCCACAATCCAGTGTGTCGTTACTATAAAGCTTTCATGGCTGAGGTTGTTGGTATGTCTGTTGGCTCTGGGTTCCCAGTACTCAGTAGCCGAGGTTGGTTGGTAAAGTAACACCAATTTCACTTCATGGTACCAGTGCATCTAGTGTCTGCTTCTATCAAAGCAGTGTGCTGTCTATACTGGTTACCCCAGCAGGTGTAGAGGGTGCATATGTCTTGGCCGTTTTATGCCAATGTACTCCGTGTGGTGTAGACCAGGTGTGCATTGGTGGTCGATTCACATGGCTTCGCCAGTTGTGTGGATTAGACAGTTATCTGGCGCAAGTCTTTATCTCTCTCATTCAGATCTTGTCCGCTATCGTTGCTTTAAGAGAAAATCTGTGGGTGCACATCCAGTGCATTTGCAGATGTTCGTGCTTCTCTTGTGACGGGCGTATACATGGTACATGGTGTGTGTGTGTGTGTGTGTGTGTGTGTGTGTGTGTGTGTGTGTGTGTGTGTGTGTGTGTGTGTGTGTGCATGTGTTGCTATGTCTAATATAGCTGCTCGCTATCATCGCTGCTGCGATGGGCATGTCTGAGGTCTGAGGTGTGTGTGTGTGTGTGTGTGTGTGTGTGTGTGTGTGTGTGTGTGTGTGTGTGTGTGTGTGTGTGTGTGTGTGTGTGTGTGTGTGTGTGTGTGTGTGTGTGTGTGCGGGTGCGTGCGTGTGTGGAAGCAGGTATTTTCGAGGCAGTGAAATGCTTTCGCTTTTTCTGTTCTCTGTGTCCTCTCTAACACAGGCAGTGAAGATGCAGCAAATAGAGTAACTCGACGTCAACCAGCCCAGTTCTTCAGGAACCCATTACCATCACCCAGCCAAGCAACTAAGTCTCCGCCAGCCCCAGCACCCGAACCAAAGCCTGTTGTTGAACCCCAGGCTACTCACACGTCTCCCTCCAAGCCCGGCAGTGTCTCCGCAAGGAAGGTAGCCTTGAATTCAGCCGGCCAGGAAGGGAAACTGGCTGGAACTCAGCCTTTGAAATCCAGTCAAGCCCCCCAGCTTCCTACTCGCCCAACGCCCGTCACTCCCTACAACACAGCAAGCCCAGTGGAAACTAAGGATCCCGCTACGGTTCACAGAGTGCAGCCGGTAGTGACTTCTGATCCAGTATCTCCTCCACGACCACTGCTCTGTGACCGCACACTAATAGCGGCTGGCGGTAACCGACCAGATGGCACTCAGGCGGCGACATCCACCCCAGCTGATCCCAAGCCTTCTTCTAAACCTAGACAAGCTGTTCCTTCCAAGTCTGCTAGTGACTCCACACTAGCATCCAGTTTTGAATCGGATAGGTACGAAACAGTCAGACTGGATTCGAATCAAGCACCAGAGCAAAAACAGCACCAAAAGTCTCAAGCTGGTACCAGGCCAGCTAGCTTAGCCATTGACCAAGCAATAGCTGTTGGCAAAGACCCTGATAAACATGCAGTGCAGCATGTCCAGCGACCAGCGCCCCCCGCAGAAACCTTATCTGCCAAGCAAACTGCTCCGTCTAAGACTGGACGCTTTTGGAGTCGCAAGAAGGCAACAGGAGATTCAGCAACGTCTCCCCGGGCAAACTCCCATGTAAGAGACATAATTATAAGTTTCAGGAGTCGCAGTGCGTTCTGCTTAAACTTATTGTTGTAATGGAAAACTGAAGTCACCTAAAAGTCACTGGAGTATGTACTGTACGCAAAGGGAAAGCTGATTACTCAATTCTACATTTCACCAGAAACCTGTCAGGTTCCTGACACCGAAATTTTAATAAACCTGAAACAACAATATCATGTTTACAGTATACACACTGGCATAAAACATTGCTTGTCTGGGCTCACTTGGTGGTAGTAAGTCAAGGTTGTTCTCCCTGCTACAATTGTGAGCTGGGTACGACGGCAGTAATGTCAGAATCATAGTTTGCCCTTTTGATGAGGTCAAGGCGTTTCTTCATGATCATAATGCAGTTGAATTACTTGCTGGTGCATTCATAAGTGGTGAGTACCACCAGCCTGTTCATTTCAAAGAATAGACTGGTGTTGAAAGAGTCATGGACACGAGGTTGTGGTCCAGTGGTAGAAAGGGTTGTATGACGTATTACAGTCTTCTTTGATCAGCATGTAAATAATTAGAGATAACACTGTGGTAAATCGACTGCTTGTATTGTTACAATAGTTCTGATGATATTAGTTATTTGATTGTATTCTTACTTTGTAGCTGCGTCCAGGCTCGTTGGAATTCTCCTTACGGACTCCATTCTAGTTTCGAAGAGATTCATTTTCTTGTGCATTTGTTCTCAAACAAATTTCTCGTCTTGTGCATTTGTTCTCAAACAAATTCTTCGTAGTATTTGCAGTAGTCTCGCTCTCTTTGATTTGTTTGACTCGCGCGTGACTTTCCTTCCTTTTCTTTTTGTCATGTATGACGTATCGGTATGACGTGAGTGTGTACGCACTCTGTTTATGACCACGTGACTGCATGCTCACGTGGAACTACAGTCAGTAGGCTAGTGCATTTTAGCGACTGCAGCGATCCGATCTTCTTGCTGCAGCGCTGTTTCTTCTTCTTCACTTGTGTCTTTTCTTTGGTCGCTGCACTAGTTTGTGATTACCATGATTACGCGTCAATGCACGACATGCTCGCCATTTTGTGCATGTCCTTTTTCCTGATGGATCTTGGATCTCGTGGAAAAAGAACAGTTTCTTTTCTCCCAACTTTACTATTATTTCAATATTTCAACTCTCTTGATTCCTTGTTGATAGTTGTGGCTCAGTTCATGTGCGAGTGTGCTGGAGTGCTAGCTGGAAGAGATAGAGAGCATAGTGGTGGAGTAACAACGTGGTGCCGAAACCCCGCTGGTTTGGAACGGAGAATACGAGCGTGGTTTCGAATTGGAATTTTCTTGAATTCGTAAATTGTGTCGGGATCGATCGTTCACTGACGTGTCGTGTGTAGTTCGCTGAGTACTGGTAGAGTGCTGACGAAGCGTGCTGTTGCGGCCTGGTAGTCGATGCCTCCTAGACTTAGGAACGCTCGAGGCAGGGGTATCAGTAGCATACCGAAAACTCCGCAGGCGCCTGGACATCGTGATCGTGACATTGAAAATTTGTTGACTCCTGGGAGTCCTGAGGATACATTCGTGGTATCCAGGCACAGTGAAGGTGGTGCTGATCATACTAGTGTTAGTGACAGTGCGTCTTCTGTCAACAGTGAAATGTTGTCACTTAAGTTGGATGGATTCGTGAAGCCGTATCGTGGCCGCGTGGACGACTTTGACATGTTTTGGTCGAAGTTTGAAGTACTGGCAGATATATCGGGGTGGACAAGCACGGAGCAACAGATGAAACGGTTGCCGCTATTCTTGGAGGGCGAAGCCCACCGTGTGTTCTCCAAACTGAGTGAGACGGAGAAGCGAGATAAGGATGCAGTGAGGAGCATCCTGCGGATGTCCTTCTGCGTGAGCCGCAGTGAGGCGTACCGCTTGTTTAAGCAGCGGCAGCTGAAAGTGGACGAAAGTCCAGAAGTATATGTCGCCGAGCTGTGCCGTCTGTTAGAGCTGTCTGGACATAAGAGTGACAGCGATACCGATCCTGTGGTGATCGAGCAGCTGTTGGCCGGATTGCCAATTGAGTTTGCAAAGGATGTCCGTTTGTCCATGGCAGGCAGGGACCTGAAGGTGTCTGAATGCCTTGATAGGATCCGGGCACTGCGATCAGCCACAGGCGCCAGAGTTGGTGCAGTGTCCGCAGCTGCCACATATGTGCAAGACAGTGTTGCCACACCATCACCGCGGCTTTGCCACCATTGTGGAGAACCGGGCCATTTCAAAAGGCATTGCCCGAAGTTATCCCGAGCAGGGAATGGTCACGCGGCCAAGCAAGAGCACCGGCGCAAGGACCCGTTCTGCCACTTCTGTGACAAGAAAGGGCACGTCAAGAAGGACTGCTTGCTGAGGAAGAAGTGGCTGGATACACAGGCTAGCTCAGAAGTTGCTAGGGCCTCGGTGCACTCCAAGGACGTGTACCTCCTGGCATCTGCATCGCCATCGTGCCCGAAGCTACCTCGTGTGTTTGTTGAATGTGCTGGTCCTGACGCGAGTAACAGTGTGCGTGCTGCAGCTGTGATAGACACTGGATCCACTGGCACGTTAGTGACAGAAGCACTGCTGCATCACCTTGGTCTCGATGTGACGCCATTGACCAATAATGACGGCATCGTAGCACTGGATGGCAACACCATGCAGACGTGTGGCACAGTGGCCCTCAAGTTTTGGAGACACGACGGACCGGTGAGCATTCATGAAGTGCTATTGAATGCTGTCGTTGTGCCTGATTTATGTGTACTGGCCGCCGATGTACTGATTGGCATTGACCTGGTGACCTGGTGACCTGGTGACCTTGTGTGGGCGCCTGTCTGTAGAGTATGCTAATGATCAGCTTGTGCGTGTCGTAATTGGGCCCGGTCCAGCCCATGCAGATAGTTGCCCGTCGGTGTCAGTAGCATCAGCAGCTGTGCAGCCTCCTAGCCAGCCTACACGTGTACATGTGTATGAGGATCAGCTGACCGACGGTATGACCCCTAGTGCTGACAAAGAAATACTCCAGCCAGTCGCCGATGACTCGCCAATGTATGCAGCTCCGACGCGCCCGCCTTCGAAGCTGTCGCATCATGTCCATGTAGAGACTCACGGCAACGATGTCATCCTGACGGTTGATGACGGCGAGATGCGTTGGATGTCGGCTGAGAAGCGTTGGGAGGTCAAGTGGGTATGGAAGTCTGGTGATGAACCCAATGGCCGTGTTGGTCCTGGTATCAGCGAGTACCCTCGGAAGAAAATTACCGCGGCAGAGGAGACGCAATTCTGCTCTGCTGTAGATGAGTGGATTGAGCGAGGCTGGCTGGTGAAGCACGACGCTGACACCCATGGTCGCCCTGCCTGTGTCTTGCCATTGATGGCTGTGAGTCAGCCGCACAAGACGTCTACGCCTGTGCGTCCGGTGTTAGATTATCGCCACCTGAATAAGCTGTTGGTGTCCCACCCTGGCACTAAGTCGCCTGTGTGCGCCGAGACGTTGCGCCAGTGGAGGCTCAAGGGTGAAGCTGATGAATTTGAGTTAGTGGACATTACCAAGGCGTACTTGCAAATCCATGTCAGCCCGGAATTGCTACGGTTCCAAGTTGTCGAGTGGCGTGGTGTTCGCTACGTGATGACGCGCATGGCGTTTGGCCTGAGTGTGGCGCCGAAGTTCATGGACACCATCATCAAGTACGCAACCGGCAGCTTGCCCGATACAGATAACTATGTCGACGACATCATTGTCCCCAAGAGTCAACGGACTGTGTTGACAGAACAGCTCGCTAGCTACAGCCTGCCAACTAAGCCTGCTATGGAGATGTCGGTTGTACGGGTTCTAGGACTGCAGCTCAACGAGTCTGATAATGGTTGAGTGCGCTGGTCTCGGCGTGATGAGTTGCATGTCGCATTTGCTGATGTCACGACGAAACGTGAGCTCTACAAGTGGTGTGGCCAGTTGACGAGCCACTACCCTGTTGCGTCATGGCTTCGTCCTCATTGTAGTTGGCTGAAGCGTTTGGCATGTCTGTAGAAGCTTGGCTGGGACGACCCGTTGCCTGCAGATCTCGTTCAATGCTGCATGAGTCTCGCCTGCCGTTTAAGCCAGCACGATCCTGCTACCGGTGTGTGGCACGTAGACCCCAACGGTGAAAGCCAATGCCAGGTGTGGTGCGATGCGTCTGATATTGCTGTCGGCGTGGCGTTGGAGGTCGGTGGTGACATCGTCGAGGATGGTTCGTGGCTTCGTAAGCCTGACGACAAGCGGCATATTAACATTGCTGAATTGGAAGCCGCTGTCGAAGGCATTTCCCTTGCCGCTAAGTGGGGAGTTTCCCGTTTCAAGCTGTTGACTGACTCTAAGCCAGTGGCAGCATGGCTGACGCAAGTAGTAACCAACTCCAAACGTGTGAAGACTGGTGGTCTGCAAGAGCTGCTTGTGCGTCGTCGCCTCCAGATCATCGATGATCTCATCGCTACGCTAGGTCTGACGATCGAGGTCGTGTGGATTCCGACGAACGAGAACCATGCTGATCAGCTGACGCGTGTCCCGACTGACTGGATCAAGTATGCAAAGGCTCTTGCACCGACTGATGTTGTTGCCGCCTGCCTGTCTGTGGTTGGCCCTGTCACGTTAGCTCAGATACGTGAAGGCCAGAAGGTGGATCCCACCATTCGAGCTGCTGTCGCTCAATTGGAGTGTGGTGAGTTGGTCTCCATTCCTGAGTTCATAAAGGTGCGTGATCAATTGCTTGTTGATGATGGTATGTCAGTACGTAGAATCAAGTTGCCTATTGATGGTTTGGTGTCTGTGCCAGTTATTCCTACGTCTTTGCAACATGCTGTCGTCTCTTCTGTTCATGTGAATTCTGGCCATGGTAATTGGCGAATGATGTATGATCTGCTTCGTTCTAAGTGCTATTTCCCTTGTATGTCGTCGTTGTGCCTTGAGTTTGTCCGGCAGTGTCAAGCTTGTGTTTCCGCCAGTAGTAAGAGTGGTCCGACGGCTGATCCCGCGCGCCCAGATTTGCCCGGTAAGCCTTGGCAGGAGATTGTTATTGATACTCTTGAACTTGGTTCTGACCGCAGTGGGCATTTTCATTGTGTTCTTGTGATTGTTGATGTGTTTACTAAATGGGTCGAGGTTGTTCTCCTACGTGCGCATGATGGTCAGTCAGTTGCGGAAGCTGTGACCGATGTTTGTTTGAAGTGGGGCTCCCCAGAAGTTGTTCGTATGGACAATGGTACTGAATTTGTGAATGGCATTGTCGAGTCATTGTTTCGTGTGTTTGGCACGAAGGTGCGTACTGGTGCAGTTAGGCATCCCCAGTCTCAGGGTTCTGCTGAGCGATTTAATCGCTTTTTGTTGACCCTCATTCGCAAGATGCTCGACTCTTCGAGTGATTGGAAGTCTGAGTTGCCTGTGCTGTTGCACTACTACCGTACGCGACTCCATGCCGCGATTGGTCTGTCCCCAATGGAAGCTATGTGTGGATGGCTTCCACGTCAGTTAATTGTTGACGAGTCTGCTGTTGGTTCTAGCCTTAGTGTTTGGGTGGACAGCCTTGCTGGTCGGTCCGCTCGTATTCGTGACTTTGTCGAAGCTGAGTTGTCGTCTCGTGATTTTGTTGAGGGCAGCGCTTCCAATCCATATGCTGTCGGTGATGCTGTTTTGCTCCGTCACCCCGCTCGTTCGCAGAAGCGCTTGCCACCGTTCGAAGCTGGGTGGAAGGTCGCCGAGATCCTTGGTCCTGGTTCCGTGCGTGTGTGTCGTTCTGTGGATGGTTTTGATCAACAGAAGTCTGTTAACATTCAGTTGATTAAACCTGCTGCTGAATCTGTGTTGTCGTGTGAGTCTGGTTCTGTGCCTGCGTCGCCCGTGCAGTGTGATCTCGATGTTGAGCCGTTGGCTGTCGCCGATCGTAGTCTGCGTAACCGTCGTCATATCCAACGCCCGAGTCGCTACATCGATTGACACTAGTGTTACCTGGGGGACTGGTGTAAATATAGAGATAACACTGTGGTAAATCGACTGCTTGCATTGTTACAATAGTTCTGACGATATTAGTTATTTGATTGTATTCTTACTTTGTAGCTGCGTCCAGGCTCGTTGGAATTCTCATTACGGACTCCATTCTAGTTTCGAAGAGATTCATATTCTTGTGCATTTGTTCTCAAACAAATTCCTCGTCTTGTGCATTTGTTCTCAAACAAATTCTTCGTAGTATTTGCAGTAGTCTCGCGCTCTTTGATTTGTTTGACTCGCGCGTGACTTTCCTTTCTTTTCTTTTTGTCATGTATGACGTATCGGTATGACGTGAGTGTGTACGCACTCTGTTTATGACCACGTGACTGCATGCTCACGTGGAACTACAGTCAGTAGGCTAGTGCATTTTAGCGACTGCAGCGATCCGATCTTCTTGCTGCAGCGCTGTTTCTTCTTCTTCTTCACTTGTGTCTTTTCTTTGGTCGCTGCACTAGTTTGTGATTACCATGAATACGCGTCAATGGACGACATGGTCGCCATTTTGTGCATGTCCTTTTTCCTGATGGATCTTGGATCTCGTGGAAAAAGAACAGTTTCTTTTCTCCCAACTTTGCTACTATTTCAATATTTCAACTCTCTTGATTCCTTGTTGATAGTTGTGGCTCAGTTCATGTGCGAGTGTGCTGGAGTGCTAGCTGGAAGAGATAGAGAGCATAGTGGTGGAGTAACACGCCGTACTTCCCCTTTGTACTATAAAGCAAGGTGCTGAAAACTATTACTTCATATCCGATAACTTTCGTACGAAGTATCTCTGCCTGTGAAGAAGAGGTTGACGTTACTCCCGCAATATTTGGGGACTGATTGTGTGCTGCTCCCTATGTGGGAGCTCGCGTTTTTCCTGCCGACTTAAATTCTCACTTGACTGACTCATGACTGCCATCCAGAATTCAAGTCAGCAGGGGAAAACACCAGCTACCACCTAGGGAGCAACACACAGTTCCTATGAAAAAAAAAAGGGTTTACTGGGTGTTAGCGGCTGTCGTGATTTCCCTTCGGGAACGGACACGATAATTTACATTTTTCAATATGGAAGAGAGAGGATCCTAGTGGAAAATTTTGTGACTCAAAGTGTCATGCAGTAGCAATCATCAGACGACTTGTTTGTCAACTTGTCTGATGATTGCTTCGGCATGAAACTTTGACTAAGAAAGTTGTAGACATCACGCAACTGTATTTTTGAAGAATAGGGGGTTTGTCAACTGACAACCGCTCTATTCAATTGCTTTTCACAATCTGTGCATGCGCTGCATTAAAAAATTCTTTGTTGTGATGTTGGAAAAATTAGTGACGTTTCGGGCCAGTCACCCATCGTCAGAGTAATTTCCAAGGGGCGAACCTGGCCTTTTTATAGCGAAAGCAAGCGAGAGCGTATGTATGTCCATGTACAAAAAAATAAACGAAACACACCATGAAACTTTGAGTCACAATATTTTTCGACTTGGATCCTCTCTCTGCCATACGCAGAAGCTCTGCACCCTGCGCACAAAGTACTGTTTAGGCAGCGTGCCACACTTTTTCAAGGGTATTTTATAGTGTATACTGGACTTTCACTGCGTATTGAAACAAATCACACCAGTGAGAAAAGAGTTTTGCACGTCTGAAAGTGTAGTGTAGATGTTCTGCAATAACAAACCGCTTCCCGTAAATCACACATGCAGGTTTCTACCGGCTATTTGCTGCTAGTTTTCTTCTGTAGCGGAAGCGTGCTGGCTATTTGCCTACGGAGGCGGAATTGAACTGCCCGTGTGCCGGTCGGTTCTTAATTTCATGCTCGTGTCGCTTATGTATGTTGACTTTGCAGAGCCAAGCGGGCAACACAGGGCCATGGTCAAGTCGAGTGTTCCGCAAGTGGATCCCACGCCTCCAAGCAACGCTCAGCTGCAGCACAATCCGCATGGAATGCCTGGG